CAGAAGGATTGCTTGAGCCCAGGAGTTTGAGGTTGCTGTGAGCTAGGCTGACGCCACGGTACTCACTCTAGCCCGGGCAAAAAGAGTGAGACTCTGTCTCAAAAAAAAAAAAAAAAGAAAGCCGGATGCAAAAGACCATGTATGTACAGCTCCATTCATATGAAATGTGCAGCAAGAGCAGCTCTACAGAGACAGAAAGTAGATTAGTGATTGCCTGGGGGTGGGAACAGGGAGTGACTGAAATTAGGCATGAGGGATCTTTTTGGCATGACAGAAATGTTCTAAAACTGGATTGAGGCAATGGTCGCGGAACCCTACAATCTACTAAAAATCAGTCACTTAAATCCAGTGCACTTAAATCCAGTGAATTTTATAGTACACAAATTATACCTCAATAAAGCTGTTAAAAAAATCTTGTTTGTCATCCTAGAGCTTATGCTCTAGCTAAAGAATAAACAGAATAAATAAAAAAGATATATGTAAGTGATAAGAGTGATAAGGCATAAATACATCAAGGGAAGGATGGGAAGGATGCCAAATTTTAAAGTAGGGTGATCGTGCGAGGCCTCACTGAGGTGTCGTTGAAGGAAAGACCAGCCAGCAGTTAGGGACAAGCCCTGTGGCCATCGGGCAAAGACAACGAAATGGCAGCATGGCGGGAGCCCAGCAAGCAAGGAAGAGAAGGGATGGGGTCAGAGTTAACAAGGAACCTGCCACGTGGCGCCCTGGGCTTTCACTCTAAGATGGGAAACCACGGGAGGGTTTTAGACGGACAAATGACTGGGTCTGGCTTCATCTTCCCCCGATGATGCCGACTGCTCTGTTGAACACAGACAATAGAGGGGCAAGGGTGGAAGGAAGGAGATGAGTTAGGAAGCTCTGGAGATCATCCACAGGAGTGACGTCGTGGCTTTTCCAAGATGCTGGCATGAAGGCGGAGGGCAGTGGCCCACTCCTGGATCTACAGTGTCTTGAAGGTAGTACCTATAGGATTGTTGACTGGTGAGTTGTGGGGACACCGGTCTCAACAGTTTCCAATGAAGAACTTTTGAGGGAAGACTCATGACGTAGGTACTCGGACTTCTGAGTACTTTGTTGTAGAGAGAAGAAAGAGAGTGAAGAATGTATTTACAAGCCAATTATCAAATAGGCACAAAGAATAGTGTGTTCATCAGAGAGGGGTTAGTGTCCTATTTTAAATTAATCTAAAACTTACAGGGAATCGAGATTCTAAGAACTTCGTTTACTGAGAAAAAAAGAAAGAAGAAATTGGAGGGAAGAAATGGAAGAACTAGAAATAGAGACTTTCAGCCTCAGAATTTTTACTGTGTGACTATATTACGTTAATGAAATATATGTCACAAAATAAAACTATGTGTTAAGTGTGTAAATATTGGAATACTAGTAATGTTCTAGTAATTTCTTAAGCAAAAAGGTGGGCAACTGGTTTGCTTTTTGAATGCATGTAATTTTTTTGTAAAAATTGTGGATAACATATACAAAAAAAGAGTCTAAAATACAAATATATAGTATCAAAAAGTTTCTCGGCCAGGTGCAGTGGCTCACACCTGTAATCTCAGTACTTTGGGAGGCCAAGGTGGAAGGACTGCTTGAGGCCAGGAGTTCAAGACCAGCCTGGGCAACACAGCAAGACGCTGTCTCTGAAAAAAAAAAAAAAAATCCTCCACCAAACGCAGGCTATGAAAAAGAACAATGTATTCCAGAAGCCCCAGTGTCCTTCCTAACACTTCCCCCATGCTCTGAACTCCTGTCCTGAAATTACAACACTCACTTCCTTCTTTCCTTCAGGATATATTTTTATTTATAACCTCTGTATGCATCTAAAATGTAGAAATCTTTTCAAAAGGAAGTTTAGTGCAGTGGGAAGAGCTCAGATTTAGGAGTCAGAAAACCAGGTTGTAACGCCTAGCCCTGCTACTTACTAGCTGTGTGACTGTGGGCAAGTCATTTCCCGTGCTCTAGGCCTTTTTCTCATCTGCACACGCAGATGACAACATCCACACTTCCCAGGATTGGCATGAAGAATTTAAATCACACAGTCGACATTTATTCAACAAGTTTATTGAAATCTCCTGGGACCTAAGCCCTGTAGAAAACAGCGATGAATCAAACCCAGTCCTCACTCTCAAGAAGCTCACAGTGTGGAAATAGGTTAACTACAAAAACGACAAAGCCAGTAAATGCTTTGAAACAGGGAGGAACATAAAAAGGATGTAGTGTTCAAAATCCTGGAATCAGAAACTAACCGTAGAGAGAGGTAGGAAGGTGTTCTAGCCTCCCACGCGGAGATGAGCTTGGGAACATCTAGAAAGACTCTTGTTGCAGACACAGCCATATCCTCCTAGGTCTCTGGAGTTCACTGCAGGCTGGCCCACTGCAGGGAGGTGTAGACCACCTTACCATCAGGCTGCGGAGAACAGAGGAGCAGGGTCTTTCTGACGCTGGTTCCAAGGCGGCCAGCGGAGACCAGGTCCTGGAGTGGGATCGGGTCCTCAGGGGCCCAGCACTGGGCGATGTAGTGGGCATGGAAGCGTAGAGGGTCACCTGAGTGAGGAAGAGAGGCATTGTAGCAGTTCCCACTGGCAGAGGGCTGGAAGGCGTTGGAACTTCCATCAGGAGACGTGAGATCATTTTAGCAATCACTACGGATACTTTAAAACAGATATCCCTGGATCCAGCTATTCTACTTCTAGTATACTGGCACTAAAATACACCTGTAAAGATGCTCGCTTTGTTATCATTTATAATTGCAAACGAATGGAAACAACAAAACCACAGACTGGTTAACTTCATGGTACATCCATAGGACTGAATGCTATACAACTTAGATTAAATGACACATTGAGGCGGGAAAGGTGGGAGGGGAGCAAGCTATCACACATGTTCAGCATAATCTTGTTTTAAAAATAAATAACAGAATATGTCATTGTCGTGGCCTAAGAACCAGGATCACAAAATCAGTCAAAGCCATGAGGAACTCAAAAGGATATCATGTAAATACCCACTGAGAAGTGACTAATGGACCAAAAGAAATAGGAATAGATTTTACAGTAGGATAGAGCAATAAATAGATGGGATGAAGGATCAAAAAAATTTTTTTCCAAAAAGGGCAAGATAATAAATATTTTCAGTTTTGTGGGCCATGTTGCAAATACTCAACTCTGCCACGGTAGTACGTTAGCAGCCACAGCTACATGTAAAGGAACGGGCAGGGCTGTGTTCCAATAAAACTTCAGTTACAAAACCAGTTGGTGGGTGGGCCAGATTTGAACTGGGGCTGTCGTTTGCCCCTGGATTAGATGAATGTGATAAAGTAGCGTGGGAACCAGAGTAGAGCACCATAGAGAAGATTAAGTAACCGGTCATGTAAATCTAAAAGGGCAAAGGTTTGAATCTCTCTGATGTTTCTATATCTTCCTGAGGTTAAATAGACCATGGCTCTCCGCTCATCTGCATAAGATTTAGGAGAGAGTCCCTGGTGCATACCTAAGATCTGACTACTTATTAGGTGGTTCCATCTTTCCACATTTAGGGGGAACAAGAAGGTAATATTGTATAAATTTTTTTTAACCTTTTAGTTACACTCCTAGTACAAATTCAAAAATTATCTGATTCAACAAAAGTCCTCTTTACTTATTCCTAATGCCAATTCCCTTCCAAAGGTAATAACACCACTGTACTGAGCTAGTGTACATCCTTTTTCTACTTGCTTGACAGAATTCTCTTAATCTACTTAGTAGTCCGTTTTATTTAAAGTTCTTTTCATTCTCTTTTTAAACTGGCAAATAAACATTGTAAATATTTATCACGTACAACATGTTTTAAAATATGTATCATGGCCAGGTGAAGTGGCTCATGCCTGTAATCCTAGCAATCTGGGAGGCTGAGGCAGGAGGATAACTTGAGGTCAAGAGTTCGAGACCAGCCTAAGCAAGAGCGAGACCCCGTCTCTACTAAAAATAGAAAAAAAACTTAGCTGGACAACTAAAAATAGAAAAAATTAGACAGGTGTGGTGGCGCATGCCTGTAGTCCCAGCTACTAGGGAGGCTGAGGCAGGAGGATCGCTGAAGCCCAGGAGTTTGAGGTTGCTGTGAGCTAAGCTGATGCCATGGCACTCTAGCCCGGGCAACAGAGCAAGACTCTGTCTCCAAAAAAAAAAAAAGAAGTATCATCACAGAATAGCTAAATCAAGCTAATTAACACATGCATTACCTCACATACTTATTTTTTCATGATGAGAACTCTTAAAATTTACTCTCTTAGCAATTTTCAACTATAAATATGTTGTTATTAACTCTAGTCACCACGTTATACAATAGATCTCTTAAACTTATTTCTCCTATCTAACCAAAATTTTGTATCCTTTGATCTACAACTCCCCAATCCTCCCTCCAAGCCTCAGCCCTGGTAACCATCATTCTATTCTCTGTTTCTATGAGTTTGACTTGTATAGATTCCATATATAAGTTAGATCATGTGGTATTTGTCTTTCCATGCCTGGTTTATTTCACTTAATATTATACAATGTCTTTTGGGATCATCTATGTCGTTGCGAATGATCGTATTTCCTTCTTTAAGGTTGAAAATATTCCACTGTGTGTATGTACCACATTTTCTTTATCCATTCATCCATTAAAATATGACCAAGGGGGAAAAAAGTACAGGTGGTAGAAAACATATACAGTAAGAAGTAAATATTTTTATATGAACATGCAAATACATACATATTTAATTAGCCTTAAAAATTGTGAATTGTGGCTCTAAAGAAACAATAGGAAAAGATATAAAAATTAGTACACCCATTATGGAAGACAGTATGGACACTTAGATTGATTCCATATCTTGGCTACTGTGATTAATGCTGTAATGAACACAGGAGTTCAGATAGCTCTTCAACACACTGACTTCATTTGCTTTGGATATATACCCAGTAGTGGAATTGCTAGATTATATAGTAGCTCTATTTTTAATTTTTTTTCCCCCAGACAGGGTCTCGCTCCATTACCCAGGATGGAGTGTAGTGAGTGGCATGATCACAGCTTACCAAAGACTCAAATTCCTGGGTTCAAGTGATCCTCCTGCCTCAGCCTCTCGAATAGCCGGGACTACAGGCCTGCACTACCACGCCAGTTTTTTTTATTTCTTGTTAAAGACAGGGTCTATGTTGCCCAGGCTGGTCTCAAACTCCTGGCCTCAAATGATCCTCCCACCCTGGCCTCCCAAAATGCTGGCATTACAGGTGTGAGCCACTACACCTGGCCTATTTTTAATTTTTTGAGGAACCTCCGTACCATTTTCCGTAATGGCTGTATTAATTTGCATCTTCTCATATTCTTTCACTATAGCCACAGTTTTGAGGGCTATTAATTAATATGTATATATCTGTATATTCATACAAAAATATAATTTACTTCTTACTATACGCATTGTCCAACAGCTGTTCTTTTCTCCTCCTTTGGTCATATTTTTCATAAACATACATGGACTTACATCGATCTCTGATAACTAATGCTATGTTTCTCCGACATCTAACTGCTGTGTTTAACTACTCATGTATTAAGAATTATTTTGGCTGTTTACCAATTTTTCTATTTCAATACTGTGGAAATTCTGCAACGAATATTCCTATATGTTTTGTACACATGTCTAACTCTTTCTAAGTGAATCTTCTGGATCAAAGGAAGCGTTTAGTAAAAGTTACTAAACTGCCCTCCAAATGAGCTCAGGGGCTCCCAAATGTTTCCTGTCCTTCTATGGATCTCAGAGGCTAAGAGAAAGTGACACCAAAAATTAAAAAAAAAGTAAAAAAATGCAGAATACGATGGGTTTGTGAGGAAAGACACAGCAACCAGCGGTCCCCAATGCAAACTCACCAGGATAGACCAAGAAGTCACCCCCGAACTTGCCAGCGGCACTAAGGAAGAAGCCTCGCTCCCACAGGTCTCTGTAGATGCTGTAGCGCAGCTCGTGAGCAGGGCGGCCAGCATGGGGCCAGTCTTTGGACTGGACACGCCAGTCCAGGGGCCTAGCCTTGACAGGTCGAGGCCTAGCAGTGGCCAGCTGGACAAGTAGAGCAGATCTGGGCAAGGGGGTCACCCCATTTGAAGATCCAGGTTGGGAAGAGGAGGGGCCTGGAGGAGGTGCAGGTAAGAGTTTGGTAAATCCAAAGGGTAAGAAGGTCTTCCCACCCCCAGGGAGACTCAGGCCCTAGATTTCCACCAAAATTCCCAGAAGATCTCTTCCCTCCTTCCCCTAGTCCCTGGACTCCAACTCCCACCCTCACCTGCTTCCTCCTGCTCTCCAGATGTCTGGCCATCACTGGTCTCACTCTCTTCGGCAGCTTGGCTCCCACCGGCCTCCTGGCTCCCGCTGGTCTCTGAACCCTGTTCTAGCTTCTGCTTCTTGGCAGCCTGGCCCTCTGTAATCTTCTCCAGGAGCTCCTGACGACGGGTCTCACGGGCCTCAGCTGCCAAGGCGCTTTGCTCCTGGAAGCTTTGCTCTTGCTGGCGCTTGAAGGATGCCAGAGCCTGAGAAGTAAATTCAGCTGGAACCTCAAGACCCAAGCTTACGGTCCCCTAGGAAACCAGGAATCCTGAGTCCCTGACGCCTCCCACCTGAGGCACGCGGAGTCCCAGGCTCCCAGCCCCTGCTCCCACAGGACCCAGGAGTTCGATCTCCCCCGCCACCTTACCAGGCTGTGGTGGCGGGGATCCGGGCGCGGGGCGCTGACCAGAGTCACGGCGCCGATCTCGGCCAGAAGCCGCGCCTCTTCAGGCATCAGCAGCAGCGGGAGGCCCAGGCGCGAGTTCTGGCGGGGCCCGCGGGGCAGGGCGCCCACCGTGCGGCCCCCCACTCCCAGGCGCTCCCGAAGAGCCTGCACCGCCTCGGCCCCCCACACCAGGGAGCGGCCGTTCGCCACCTCCACCACCAGCATCCTCCTGCGGGAGCCAGGGGGCAAAGCGGTCACCGAAACAGCTGCACGCAGCCGGCGGCCCCGAACGCTCCCACTGCCTCCGGGGTCCAGGGGAAGCGCCGCCCCCAGAGCAACAAGCTCCGCCCCCGGGCGATGCCACCCGGCCCGGGGCCGCGGGAGACCTGGTCCTGCCCCTCGCGGAGCCACGGGGCCCCGTCTGGCCGCTGGAACCCCGCCGTCGGCATCCCACTCTGTACTAACACTGCCCTACCTGCCATCGCGCCTACGAGGCTCAGGAAGAAACCTCCGCAAGCGCGGCGCCATGCCCCTTAAAAAGGTCCATTTTGGCACTGCCCTACTGCACACCGGCCGTCTCGCTTCGGGTGTTCCCGCCAAAGGTCGGGAATTCTAGAGGCCAAGGCGCTGCCCAGCCACACTCTCTTCGGGATACTCGGAGCTTGGCCCCTCCCCTTCCCAAACCGCCGAGGTTCAGCGCTCGGGCCTTCTCGTTCTGAGAGAGAATCCCACAGTACGAAGCCCCGCCCCTCCCGAGTGCAGGCGGTTCGGCGTTCGGGCGTTCTCGGCTCAACCGAATTCGAAGCCCCGCCCCTCCCGAGCGCAGGGGGCTCGACGTTCGGGCATCAGCGGTTACCAGCAATCCCGCAGCCTGCGGCCCCGCCCCTCCGGTCGGCAGCGCGCCCCAGTTGGGAGTTCCCGCCCCACGACCGAACCCCAAGCCGGAGGCCCCGCCCTTTGGGCACCCGCCGTCTGTTCTCCGCTGGGGTGGGCTCACCCTACTTAGGAGCGCTCAGTCCGCGTCCCTGCCTCCCTTCAGAATGTCCCACCGTCCTCCGACAGAACCAGCCAGGGACCTCGTAAACACCAACTCGCAGTCGAGGCGGAGCCACCCGCTACGTAGGGCGCCACGCGCTGCTTCCTCCACCCCGCGACATGCCGACCCCCAGCGTCAACTTCGTCATCCCGCCACCTCAGCGAGGCGGGAAGTCTGGGATCCGCCTCCGCGGGGCCGTTGCGCCTCCTCCCCCACGCCCCCCGCAGTGGGACACCTCGGCCCCGCCCGCCGTAGCGCGCCTACCTGCGCCGCTTCTGCTCCTGAACTTGGGGTTGTGAGGCGCATTGCCTGGCCCCGCCCCCTAGGCCCGCACGGCCTGCCCCCGGCCCGCCTCCTTTAGGTCAGGCCTCTTTCGCCCCGCCCCTTGGTGTTCGTCCCTGATCACCGCCTCCTTCGCGTAGCCTAAGTCTGTGGCCCCGCCTCCCTCCCGCCCCCCGAAAAGGAGACTCAATATCTGGCGAAGCTGATGGCTTTGTCTATCATACTAGCGCCATTCATACCCGACTACCTCCGAAGGAAACCGAAGCTTGTGGCCCTACCCACATCCGGCCGAGCTTGTGGCCCCGCCCATATCCGAACAGTGACCTTAAGTACTCGACTATCTCCGAAGTAAGCCGAAGCCTGTGGCCCCGCCTCCAAACGGTGAGCGCAAGCTCCCGATTGTGCCCGAAGGAATCCGAACGGAGGTCCTGCCTCATCCCGAACGCTCAGCTCCAGGCCCCGCCTCCTCTCCCGGGCCCGTGCAGTTCACCTCCCAAAGCTTCTGTCCCTCCTCCTTCCGAACCCGAAGCCCCGCCCCCTCACGTACTCGCGGCTCGGAGCCCCGACTGGGTAGATCCCGGCCCGGGTCTAGGCGCCGGCTCGTGCTCTCAGGCGCCCGCTCCGGGGCTCCTTCTCTGCCCGGCCCGGATCCTGCCAGTGGCCGCCTCCCCGGCCCGATCGGGGCGGCCCGGCCGGCCCAGCGAAAGAGCAGGCGGCGCGGGGGCGTGCTGGGCGGGGGAGGCGTGGTCGGAGCCGCTGCGGCCCGCGGGCTGGAACTGCTCGGCCGCCTGCTGCCGGGCGGGCGGCTCAGGTGGGCCGGGATGGGGGCGCCCGGGTGACGAGACGGGGTCAGTGGCGGGTCGCTGCGGGTGGAGGGCTGACAGGGTGCGGGGATGCCCCCGGCAGGGCGGCCGACCGATCTCAGAGTGGCGTAACCGCCTGTGGCTTTGCCGGGGGCGGGATCGGATCCGCGCTGCGGTGCGCACAGCCGAGCTGGGGCTGGGGAAGGGTCCTGAGAAGACAAGGGTAGAGGTCTGCTCTCCGGGTTCTAAGTAAGAGAGGGGTCTAGAGCTCCTCTGAGTGCTCTCGAAGGAGGGCTAGGGGGTCAGGATATCTGGTTCTCAGAGGAAGGGGCAAGGGGATCAAAAGAGGGGGTCTAGGTTCCTGGGACCTCGAAGAGGAGGGAGCTGGGAGACCTCGATTCCTGGGCTCTCAGAGAGGAAGGGTGCAGGAGGGGGCTTGTTTCTGGGTTCTCAGAGAAGGGGTGCGTTGCTATCTGGGTCCCCAACGGGGGTCGGAGGAGTAGCTTTGATTTCTGCGTTCGCAAAGGAGGGGCCTGGGGGCTGGGAGATCTGGTTTCCTGGGTTCTCAAAGGAGAAGAGGGCTGGAAGCCTGGGTTCTCGAAGGAGAGGGACTACGAATGGATTCCTCTGTTCTGGAAGGAGGAAGGGACTGGAGGTCCAGATTCCTAGGGACTACAGAATCCTCAAAACCTGGAGTCTAAGGGGCTGCGATCCTGAATCCCGGAAGGGGGAGGAGGCAGGAGGCCCGGATTCCTGGGTTCTCACTCCGCACCTCTGCCCCTCCCCCAGACCATGTCGCCTGAAGAATGGACATATCTAGTGGTTCTTCTTATCTCCATCCCCATCGGCTTCCTCTTTAAGAAGGCGGGTGAGTCAGGTTCCCTCCCCAGTGGAAAATAAGGGGGTGGGAGCGTGGGCGGGGGACCCTCTGGAAGATTCCAGGCTTATGCTGTCCCTTCTTCCTGCAGGACCTGGGCTGAAGAGATGGGGGGCAGCAGCTGTGGGCCTGGGGCTCACCTTGTTCACCTGTGGCCCCCACACTTTGCATTCCCTGGTCACCATCCTGGGGACCTGGGCCCTCATTCAGGCCCAGCCCTGGTGAGGACGTGGTGGAGGGAGGAGAGGGCGAGTAGGGGGAGAGGAGGAAGCAACCTGTTTCCTCTTTGGGTCTTTTTCAGCTTCTGCTTCAGTCTCCAGGAGTCTCTGGTTTATCAGTTTGTTTCTCTGTGTCATCTGTTTCATCTGTTTTCCTTCCTCCCCTGCCTTGTTCTGCATCTTGTCCCTGCGTGTTTGTCCCAGTCCTCTACGTCTGTGTCTTGGAGAAAGGAGGATGGTACTTGTCTGCTGGCCCTGCCACCATTCACATTCATTCACATCCCTCAGTCTCGTCTTGAGCTCTGCATCTTGGGGAAAAAAAAAAGAAGTGGAGGATTGAAGGGTTTTTACCGTGAAGCTTCTCTTAACCCCTCATTCTTTTCTCTGTTGCTATGTGTTTCTATGTGGCTTTGCCTCTACTGTGCTGTTTCAATCATACTCTTCAGTCCCTGCCTCCCACACTTCAGTCCTCTCTGTGCCCTCGCATTTCTGTCTCTGAAGGGGAGAGATTGGGGAGGATTTGTGGCTAGGTTCTGGGGAAGGGAGAGGCCAGGGCCGAGGCCTCTGCTTCCAACACAGCGTGCCTCTTGCATTTGCCTAGCTCCTGCCACGCCCTGGCTCTAGCCTGGACCTTCTCCTATCTCCTGTTCTTCCGAGCCCTCAGCCTGCTGGGCCTGCCCACTCCCACGCCCTTCACCAATGCCGTCCAGCTGCTGCTGACACTGAAGGTCAGACTCCGGGCTTGCTACTCCCCTCCAGCCTCCCTGTGAACCAGTTAACCTCCCCTACCTCACCTCTTCCTCCCAGGCGCTCCCATGGGGGGAGGGGGAGTTTTATCTCCCATACACCCTGGGAGTGGGACTTCACCTTTTCCCCTACCCTGGGAACAGGGTTCACTACTCCCTTGCCCCTGGGCAGGTGCTCACCTCTCACTTCTTTCTGGGGTGAAGAAATAGCCCAAGTAATATAACAGTAGGTGCCATTTGCTGCTTGCAGTGTGCCAGAGGCTGAGCTGGGTGCTTTACCAACATGCTCTCCTTGAGTCTCTGTAGCCAGCCGGTTTGCAAAGAAGGAAAACCAGCTCTGGGAATAAGGTACTTGGTTAAGGGCACAAAAGTAGGACACCCACATCTGGCTCCTAATCACCTGGGAAGATGGGTGTCAACGGACTCCCAGGCCCCTCCCCAGAGCTACAAAGTCATGAATTCCTACTGTGTGCTGGGCTCCAGCGACTCCTCAGGGAACAGAGCAGTGGTGCGAGGCAGTGAGCCAGGCCTCTCCAGCACTCTGTGTTCTCAGCTCAAGGGTGGCAGGAGTAGGTTGGCTGAGGGACAGGTTAGAGCAAGAACATTTCAGGGGTGTAGGAACTAGCATGTGTGGAAGGGAGCAGGCTGAGTGCCACAGGCCGCGCCAGCCACATGGGCTTTGTGCAGAGAGCAAAGGGCCCAAACCACGTGGGCCTGGCTGACCACAGGGAAAAGTTTGAACTTTTCCCTGTGGGGGACCAAGATTCACTGGAAGAGAAGTTTTTCTGGGTTTGTTGCCAAAAAAGGTGATGTGATCAGTTTGACATGTTTAAAAATATTCACTCTGGATAGTGAGGAGAACTGAAGCGGAACAGGGCAAAGTGGGATGAGGTGGATCCCTTTATCCAAGACCAGGTGACAAATGGCAGCTTTGATATCAGGGAGGTCAGAGTTCCAACGGGAAGCGCCACATTTAGGATGATTCAAGGAGCGTTTGTTTACCACGGTGTGAGCAGGATGTAGAGTAGCAAGAAGGGTTAGTGCAAGAACCCTGGACCAGCAGCAGCAGGGTTGCCAACGCTGGGTCCGGCGGGGAGAGAAGAGGAACCTGGAAGGAAAAAGGGCTGTGTAGAGCCAGCCATGTTGAAACAACCTATCAAGGGTGATGGCCAGCACAAGGCCATCTCACAAGGGAATAAAAATCCCGCCCTCACTCTCCTGCCCTCCTCCATCCCCAGCTAGGGCTCTCAATTGACTGAACCCAGCCAAAGCTGGAAGACAGGGCAGCCTGGGGTCTGGGTGGGAAAGAGAGTAGAGAGGACCCGGAGGGGCAGGTAGACACACTCAGAGCCCGTAGTGGAGGTGGAAAGAAGGGAACAGACTAAAGAAAGGGGATTGGATCTGGGGAGCGACGGAGGTTTTTGGCCTGAGCAATTAATTGGATGGTGGTGACCTTTTCTTTGAGAGGAGAAGCTAGAAGAAGATGCACTTTGGGGAGTGGGTACTACTGCGTTCCATTTTGGATGTGTTAAATTTGAGGTGCCTGAGACATCTAAGTACGAATGGCAATAGGCCTGGGGCGAGAGGTCCAGGCTGGAGTAGAGTTTGGGAGTCATCAGCATGGGACAGTTTCTAAAACTATGAAGTTACGTAAGAACACGTAAGAATGGAACAGGGAAAGGAGAGGAGGGCCCAGGATTGAGCCCTGGGGAGCACCCACCAGCTAGAGGCATGACACACGGCCCAGAGCTGCAGGCGCCCAGCATCTTGGATGGGGAAGGTGGCAGCTTAAGGGAGACCGGTATGAGGAAGAGCCCAGGGTCCGACTGATCCTCCGCCCACCCCCTTCCTCCCAGCTGGTGAGTCTGGCCAGTGAAGTGCAGGACCTACACCTGGCCCAGAGGAAGGAAATGGCCTCAGGCTTCAGCAAGGGGCCCACCCTGGGACTGCTGCCCGACGTTCCCTCCTTGATGGAGACGCTCAGCTACAGCTACTGTTACGTGGGCATCATGACAGGTGAGTGGGCCTGCCCCATCAGCTCTGCCTCTCCCTGTCTCTGTCGCCCTCTGTCCCCCCTCTGCCCTGAGTTTCGTGCCTGTTCTGTGTTTCCACCCTGCCCTGCTACCTCCCATCTGCTGCCCCGAGGGTGAGCGTCTTTGTCTGGGTCTACATCTGACCCTCCTGCTAGACCAGAGCTTCGTTGGCGTGGAGGGCGACTGTTCTCAGCCTAAATGATTCTTTTCTCCTTGTAGCTTACTGGGAGCACATAGAAGAGATCAAGGAGACAGGCCTATGTAAACCTGATGTTTTTGCTGCCCAGAGAACAAATACAGCTTAGGATTCACTTTTAGTTTAAGATTATATTTTTCATTAACGTTTACCTCATAGAAAGTTTTTGTTTTCTTTTTTCTGTCTTTTTTTCTTGATTATATTTGAAATGGGGTCTCACTGTGCTGCCCAAACTGCTCCTGAATTCCTGGGCTCAAGCAATCATCTCTCCTCAGCCTCCTGAGCAGCTGGGACTACAGGCGTACGCCACCACGCCGGGCTCGGGTTTTCTTCTTCATAATAGCTTTAGGGAGCTCTCATTTACATACTCATCCACTTAGAGCATCGGACTCACTGGTTTGTAGCATAGCCACAGAGTTGTGCAAGCATCACCGTGTGTAGTTGTTCGCAGAACAATTTCATCACCCCAGAAAGAAATCCCACAACCCTAGGCCCCCAAACCTCCATCCACTAATGGAGGAAACCACTACTTGACTTTCTGTCTCTGTAGATTTGCCTGTTTGGGACATTTCTTTAGATGGAATTATACAACATGTGGTCTTTTGTGAAGACCACATTGGTGTTTTAGCACCAGTCCCTTCTGTCAGTGCCACTGCTCCCCGCCAGGCCAGGCCAGCATCGTATCCGTCTCCTCTTTTCCGTTTTCCTCCCTCTCCAGTCCAGGCCCCACTCAGCAGCCAGAGGGACCTGTGAAAAGGTACACGATACCCTAGCACTGCCCTGCTGGAGAAGCCTCTGGTGGCTTCCTGGTGCGCCTGGAACAAAACCGCAAGTCGTCCTCAGCGCCTGCAGGCCCTGCCGCCCTCTGGTTTCTTCCCAGCCGCTCTCTCTGCAGAAGCACTGCTCTACTTTCCGTGACTTGTTTACATCGAGATCACCTTCACCTCTGTGGGTCTTGTCTGTCCATCCCCATCTGGCTGTCTTAGGCTTCCCCATTTTCTTTGGCCCTCTAATTTTCTGTCCAACTCTTTCTCTCCAAGTCCCTTGTCCTCCCGTATCTCTGGGACCGAGTCCCCATCTCTCTGGGTCTCTGTCCCCTCCCCTCCTCCTCCTCCAGGCTTGAGCTCTGCCCACCTGCCCAGTCTGACCTCCTGCCCTGCCTCCCCCCCCCACAGGCCCGTTCTTCCGCTACCGCACCTACCTGGACTGGCTGGAACAGCCCTTCCCCGGGGCAGTGCCCAGCCTGCGGCCCCTGCTGCGGCGCGCCTGGCCGGCCCCACTCTTCGGCCTGCTGTTCCTGCTGTCCTCCCACCTCTTCCCGCTGGAGGCCGTGCGCGAGGACGCCTTCTACGCCCGCCCGCTGCCCGCCCGCCTCTTCTACATGATCCCCGTCTTCTTCGCCTTCCGCATGCGCTTCTACGTGGCATGGATTGCCGCAGAGTGCGGCTGCATTGCCGCCGGCTTTGGGGCCTACCCCGTGGCCGCCAAAGCCCGGGCCGGGGGCGGCCCCACCCTCCAATGCCCACCCCCCAGCAGGTCAGGCGGCGGGACGGAGGCTTCCCAAGACCCAGCTGGCCCCACCACCAAGGGCTGGCTCTGCCCCTAGCAGGGAGGAGAGCGGGAACGGGGGCAGGGCCACCGCCTGTTGTTAGTGGCGCCTCGGAGCCTTGTTCCTTGGTCCACGGCCTGCCTTCCCCTGTCTGTAGGGAAACAGTACCCCTGTTGCTAGCACTTATCACCCTTCAGTATGGTGAATTGCCCTCCATCCCTAGGAAAAGGAAGGTGGTATCCTAGCAACCATGTGCTGCCCCTCTGTTGTCGTGGAAGTGTCACCCCAAGAGCCCGATTGTTCCTGGTTGCTCAGGATGCCATCCTCTGGTAGTGGTTGGTCACCCTCTGTTGCTAGGGAACCCAGTCCCTAGCAACAGTGATTGGCCCCCTTCTTGCCAGAAGTCTTAACTCTTTGTTGCTATGGAAACGGCACCCCGATGAGATGTCATCATGTAGCAGCCCTCAGTTGCCCCCTTTTTCCAAGGAAATAGCATCCCTGACTGTGCTGTCTTCCAGCAGTGGGGACACCATGCCTAGTAACTGCAGATAACTTCCTACTGTTGCTAAGGAAGCTGAACCTCCCCGTGGCAACCATGAATTGGCCCTATTGCCATTGATCCTCCCCCCGCCCCAGCACCTTTACTGCTAGGTAGTCACACTGCTGGTAACTATGGACTCTACTCTTGCTGAGGAAGTATCAGCTCTCTGTTGCTGATACAGAGCTGGAAGCCCTAGCATCTGGCAATGGACTGCCCCTCTGTTCCTGGTGACCATACTCGGCCTTCCACCTGGGCCCGGGCTGGGGCTGGAGGAGCAGCCCTTGGGTGTGAATTATGAACTACTTGCTAGGGTTGTGCCATCCCCTAGCAGTCACAAACTGCCATTTTGTTGTGGGGATCATGACACCCCCATGTAAATTTATCACCACTGCCCTAGTAACCATGGGCTGACCTCCAGCTGCCAGAGAGAGGACGTCCCCTGAAAAGTCAAGCAGGAATTGAAGGCTTCTCTAAATCTAGCTGCCCCACTCTCTAAAGGATGGTTCCCCTCCTATTATCAGAGGCCACCAAGGGTTTGTGTGGGCCAGAGACATTCCCCACTGCTGGGACTACTGGCACTCATGGCCTGGGAGCCACTGTATGGCTAGAGGTAACACTTCTCCAACAATCACAGGGACCAGGAAAAAAGGCCCTTTCTGGAAACCTGTCTAAACATCGTAGGCCTTATTGCTAAGGAATGCCTTTTCCTTAGCAACAGAGATCATTGAGACCTTACTTGGGCCTAGAACATCTCCCTAGCAACCGTGACCCACCTTGTTGTTAGGGATGATACTTCCCTAGCAACCTCAGTGTCCAACAGTTTAGAAGGGACCATCCTTGGAGGTTTCTCTGAATAGTCTGAGCTTGGTTGCTAAAGGACTCGTAGCTTAGCAAGCATTGCCCCTCAAAGCTTTTTGTGGCTGTGGCAGGCCCCATTACCAAGAGAAAGAGAACCCCATTGTTGGTGAACTGTGCCCCCTGACTCACCCACTTTCCTCCACCAAGGGCTCCCTCTGGGTTATCCTCCCCTGTTGCCCTAGCAAGTCTGACAGCCAGAGCGCCCTTGCCTGGCCAGAATCCCCTGCTTAGCATCCGGGGCTGGGACAGTAGCAGGCATGGGGACAGGGCCGGGCTGAGCTGCATGTCTGTCCCCCACCCTCATCCTCCACTCCCCCAGTCCGGAGAAGGCGGCTTCCCTGGAGTACGACTATGAGACCATCCGCAACATCGACTGCTACAGCACAGACTTCTGCGTGCGGGTGCGGGACGGCATGCGGTACTGGAACATGACAGTGCAGTGGTGGCTGGCGCAGTACATCTACAAGAACGCTCCTTTCCGTTCCTACGTCCTGAGGTGAGTGCACTCTGCCCTGCCTTGGAGGACACCCCAGAACTGCAACTCCCAACAGCCCTCAGGGGCAGGCTATAGCTTCCCTGGCTGGGCCCCTGCCCCTGAGGTTCATGGGAGCTGTAGTTTATTGAGCCTATTTTTGTCCGGCCCCCAGTTAGAGACATTATGTGGAGGTAAATTGTCTCCCTCTCTCGGCCTCAGTTTTATTTCTGTAAAGTCAGCTTCATTCGCCAGAAACAGTATACTGAGTCCAGTGGACTCAGCAGCCATACTTTCTGGAATCTTGGTCCTGCAGGTTCCTGAGGAACCTTGAGGAGTTAACTTTACCTCTTGGTTTCCTCAACTGTTAAATGGAGATAACGCTATTTATTACCTATTTCATACTTACATAGGAGGATTAAACGAGATAAAGTGTGGAATGTACGTAATATGAGGCCTGATAGAAGAGTGCTTGCTATATATTAACTTTTATTATTTTTCATTCTTATTTCTCGAGTGGAGACTCTGTACCAGACATTGTTATCTTTATGGCCCTCAGAAGTAGGGACTCTTACCATCCCCATGTCAAAGGTGAGGAGACTGAGCCTCAGAGAGGTTAGGTAACTTACTGAGTGTCACTCAGACTTTCCCGAGGCACCAGATGAAGTCAGGATACGTCATAAGACGTCTTTATAATGAAGAGTTTATGGTGGCAGCTCTGGAGCTAGACTTACTTACCTGGGTTCGTGACCTGATTTATGATTTAAAGATCCGCTCTGGCCTCGTGTGGAGAATGGAACAGAGGTAAGAGGGGGACCAGGAGGTAAACCTGGGAGACAAATTCGGAGGCCTTGGGGCTGTCTAGGTGAGAGGCGATGGAGTCCTGCAGTAGGGAACAGTGGCCCAGAAGTAGACGAATTTGAAAGGAAGGGTCAGGGCTTGGTGTGGACTGGACGTGGGGCGTCAAAAAGAAGAAATGACACTTGCTTCCCTGGCGTGGGTGTCGGCGACTGAGGGCATGGAAGAGCCCTCTCCTGAGAAGGGGAAGATCCAGTAGGAGTAAGTTTAGGGAGGGGGTAGGATGAGGAAGCAAGACTTGGGTTCAGCTTCATTAACTTTGAGGCGACTATTAGATTTCCAGCAGGGGTTATTGGAGAGGCAGTTAGTTACGCGCTTCTGGCACTTACGGGAAAGGCTGGTGTTAGAAGTGGACACCGAGCGGCATTCGGTATAGACGATGCTTAAAGCTCCGCGGCTGAGGGTAGGTCAAAGCCAAGGGCACCCCAGTGCTTGGACCAGTGGTTGTCAACTTAGGGGCATTTGTGCTGCACCCCCAGGGAACATGTGGCAATGCCTGGAGACATTTTTTGTCATGAATGGGAGGTGCTACTGACATCTAGTGGACGGAGGCCAGGGAGGATTCTAAACATCGTAGGATGCACAGGATTCGCCCTTTCTGTTTACCTTACACCCCACAGATGGGGCGGTCAGCATTATTCTCTCATTGGGTTACTTTTGTACTTCAAGCACCCAGGTGTGCCAGAGGGACAAGTCAGTGTCCACAGACAGGAAAGAACCCGCTAAGGTCCCAGTCCACGGCAAAGCTGCTGATCGATACGCAGTTGGAGAATGATTTCTGCGTCCTTCACGGAAGAAGGGTCAGAGCCTGAGTCTGTGACTCTTCCAGGGCTAAGCAATTAGATTTCTGGGTCTAGAAGGGGAGGGGACCAAACCTCTGAGTCCACAAAGGAGGCGAGCTCCGGGGCTGGAGATTTCTGGGTCTGCGTGAGTCAGGAATTGTGCTCCTGGATCCCTAAAAGGAAGAAGAGGCCAGGAACTTGGGCTCCTGCGTGCTGAGGGAAAGTGGTGGTGGGAGGGGGCGAGCTGAGTTCCTGAAAAGGAGGAACAGAGACTCCGTGGCCCTGAGGAAGGCAGGCAGATAGGCTTCCGAAATCCTGAGTTCTCCAAGGAAGGCGGACCTGGCTCATACAGAGGGCTGAGCTGCTGGGGACTCCTGGTTCCCCGAGAGAGGCAGGGACCATTAGCTTTCTGGTTCCTCAGGAGTGAGGAAAGATGACTCTGGGCCTTGGGGGCAGAGGAACAACTCCTGGGCCCCAGAATAAGGCAGGACCACACTCCAGGGATTTTCTTCACAGGCCAGGCCAGCGGTTCTCAAGCATTAGTGTGCAGCAGAATCAGCTGGAGGACTGCTACATGGAAGCTTTCCTCTGGGCCCTACCCCCAGGGTTGAAGTGGGGACCAAGAATTAATAATTCCCACAAGTCTTCAGGCGATGCTGATGCCGGACCCGGGACCATACTTTGAGAACCACAGGGCTAAGGAATTGGGCCTCTTGATCCTGAGGCAACGGAACATAAAATGTTAGATCTTGTTTTTCCTTTCCTGAGACAGAGTCTCAGTCTGTCACCCGCGCTAGAGTGCAGTGGCGTCAGCCTAGCTCACAGCAACCTCAAACTCCTGGACTCAAGCCATCCTCCTGCCTCAGCTTCCCGAGTAGCTGGGACTACAGGCATGCGCCACCAAGCCCAGCCAATTTTTTCCATTTTCAGTAGAGATGGGTTCTTGCTCTTCTCAGGCTGGTCTCAAACTCCTGAGCTCAAGCGATCCTCCCGCCTCGGCCTCCCAGAGTGCTAGGATTATAGGCGTGAGCCACTGCACCTGGCCAAAATGTTAGATCTTTAAAGGAGAGGGCATTGGTTAGGATTGCCGGGGTCTGGATGGGAGCTTGGAGCTGCTGGATCCCTGAAGGAGACAGAGGCCCGTAGCCTCCCGCACTTTCTGGAGCTAGGAAAGAGGACCCCTGGGTCTGAGGGAGGAGGGGCTGAGAGCTGGGGGCAGTGGGGACTGGGCACTTGGGCTCCGGGATCCTGATTCCCAGCCCGCTCTCCCAGGAGCGCCTGGACCATGCTGCTGAGCGCCTACTGGCACGGCCTCCACCCGGGCTACTACCTGAGCTTCCTGACCATCCCGCTGTGCCTGGCTGCCGAGGGCCGGTTGGAGTCAGCACTGCGGGGGCGGCTGAGCCCTGGGGGCCAGAAGGCCTGGGACTGGGTGCACTGGTTCCTGAAGATGCGCGCCTATGACTACATGTGCATGGGCTTTGTGCTCCTGTCCATGGGCGACACTCTCCGGTACTGGGCCTCCATCTACTTCTGCATCCACCTCCTGGCTCTGGCGGCCCTGGGGCTGGGGCTGGCTTTGGGCGGGGGCAGCCCCAGCCGGCGGAAGACAGCATCCCAGGCCACCAGCCTTGCCCCAGAAAAGCTCCGGGAGGAGTAAGCTGCCACCACGCTCCCTCTGCCAGCTTTTCCAGCCACCAAGCTTTTGCTTGGGAATTCTGTGAACCAGGCTGCTGTCTCCTTTCCCGGAAAGAGCCCTGAATCTGGCTGGGGTCCTGGAGAGGATTCCCTTTTCCTGAGCTAAAGACCCTGCCTCCAAGTGAAGCCTCTCTGGGGGGCGACCTCCCCAGACTTCTCCTGCCTCCTGGCCCTGTGCCCTGGGACCTCCGCTGGCCACTTTCCCTCCTATAAAATCAATGTATTGTCCAGACAGGAGTCTCGCCCTGTTCCTGCTCCAGCTTCCGGGCATCCAGAGAGCGCTGCGCTTGCCCAGAACAGCAGGGACTGATGGACGGTGTGGTTTCTTGGGCAGATTCCCTTTCTTTGGATCCACAGTCCAAAGTAGGGAACCTCTTTCTTGTGTATTTCACTCTGCTTTCAGCTCAATAAACCAGTATTTCAGACTGGGAAGGGAACATAACCTGCCCGTTTCATAGGGGGAAACTGAGGTGCAGATGAGCAGGCCTGTGACTGCCGTCGGCAGCTCCCGTCTGAGTCACCTCAGGTCCCCAGTGTTCCTGTCAACCCTCTGTCATCCGTTGGCCTACCTAAGACGGCTCAGAATGTGTAAGTCTTTCCCAATAAAGTGCTACACGAGGACGCCTGTGTCTGTGTGTCTGTGGGAGATGAGCCGATGGGAGGCACTTAGGCCACTGAGTCCCAGTGGGGTGTGCTCCCGCCCCAGCCCGGGAGCCACACTGGCTCAGGACACCACCTGGACTCCAGTTCCCAGGACACCTTTTGCAGCAACCGCCCTGACAGTTTATGGGACATGTACCTTATTCTCTCCAGGCCACCTGGTGGCCAGGTACACACCTGCCCCAGACCCCTCCCTTACCTGGGGCAGGCCCTGCCCAGGCGGCCACTGGAGACAAAGCCGCGCCTGGGGCCATGGAAGAAAGCCCGAGCTGGGAAGCCTGGGACTCCTCTGGGGGGTGGCCAGCCCCCCGGGGGGCCAGAGGAGGTGAGGGGAGCCGGGGGAAGTTCAGACCCATCCAACCTTCAGGCCACGTGGAAGCCCTGGGGAGCAGAGGGGAGGCCTCGCTGCCTGGGTCTGAGGGCTGAAGGGGGCAGGGTTTTGTTTGCCGAGATTACCGGAGAAGGGAACTAGGAGCTGGGACTCCGGGTCTGAGGAGGAGTGTGGAGAACCAGACTCTAGCCTTAGAGGAAGAGAGAGCTGGGGCTAGGACCTGGGTGTCTCAGGAATGGGAGGGGCTGGGTTCCCAAACTCCTCGATAAGAGAGAAAAGGAAGTTGAATCCCAGACTCTTCCGCCCTGGTATAGGAGGGTCTTGGGGGTCCACACTTGGGTCCTTGGGGAGGGGGTCTAGGGGTCTGCCCTCCTGGGTCCGGGGGAAGTAGAGGCTGGGGATTCCTAACTCCTGGGTCTGATAGAAGAGGGGCAGGGGGCCGAGACTCCTGCTTGGAGGAAGGAGGGGCTGGGGGCTGGATTCTTGGGTGTTCCCAGCCCTCTGCCTTCCCGCCAGGCCCATCGCTGTCCTCCATTCTCAACGGACTCCCCAGTGCAGCTACCCTTCGGTACCGAGGCCCTGGGGTGCTGCCTTGGGGGGCGCTGGAGGAGGAGGAGGATGGAGGAAGTAGCACACAGACCTTAATAGAAGCCGCCCAAAAGGAGCTGCAGGAGCCTCACTCTTCCCGGGAACTGCCCTGGCCCATGCAGGCCAGACGGGCACACAGGTGAGGCCCCAACCTCCCTCCGGCCCTCGCCACCCTGAGCCCTGGGCCATCTCTCCCAGGCCTCGCGCCCTGTCTGCTTCTCCCTCTGTCCTCTCTCAGAGCTGCCTCTCTTGGCTTCTTTTCTCCTCTGTCGCTGTCTCTACATCTCTCCCTCCAAGAGAGTCCTGTCTTTCTGTGGCTCTAGGACTCTCTCTCCTCTCCCTCCAAGCCTGTCTCTGCCTCTGTTTCTAAGTGTGTTTGAAATCTGTTGTTATTTTTTTCCTTTCTGCTTTATGCCTTTATCTCTGCCTCCTCCTTTTCAAACCTGTCTCTCTTTTACTTCTTTCTTTCCTCTCCCCATCCACAAACTTTGCGGGCCCAGTGAAAAATGAAAGTGCGGGTGTCCTTGTTCAGAACTGATTATGCATTTGAAGATGGCAACAGCAGCGCCTTAAACCCAGCGCCAGGCCCTTCTGAGAGTGGGGCCCTGAATCTGGCCTGGGCTTCCTTCCTTTCTCCCTCCTTCCCTCGATTTCTTCTTCCTTTTTTCCTTTTTTGCTTTGTCAGGATATTTGCCTATAGACAAGTGCATGAAACACTACGTACAGATCAAAAAAAGAGTACAATCTGCCCTCCGTATCCATGGGTTCTTCATCTGCTGATTCAACCAAATGTGGGTAGAAAATATTAGGGAAAAAAAATTTAAAATAACAATACAACAATAAAAAATAACACAAATTTTAAAACAATGCAGCATAACAACTATTTGCATATCATTTACATTGCATATAACCATGTAAATAGGTTATATGCAAATACTCGGCCATTTTATATAAGGATTTGGGCATCCACGGATTTTAGTACCCGCTGGGAGTCCTGGAACGAATTCCCCACAGATACCGAGGACATTTATAGAGTGAGAGCCCAGGTAAACTCCAGCCAGGGCAAGGGACACAGCAAGGCAGAACCCCACCTGCCCCTCCTCCGAGGCCCCCTTTCTCCCCCAAAGGTAGCCCCTTTGCTGAATGTGAGATTGCGTCCTAGCTTTTCTAATAGCGTTGCCACCTGAATGTGCATCCCTCAAGAGCAACGTTTCACTGTGCTTGTTCTGGAATTTGTGTAAATAGAATCATGCGATCTTTATTCTTTTGTGTCCTTCTGCGTAGCATTAGGTTTATTTCTTTTTTATTGCTACAGAGTATTCTGTGTTACGAATAGACCAGTTTATTTCTCGTTCTGCGGGTGGGTTGTTTCTCCATTTGGGTGGTTCCCAACTTGGGGCTGCTATGCCCTTCATTTTCTGTCTCTGACTTTGTTTCCCACCCCCCCAGGCAGCGCCACGCCAGGGACCAAGTGGCCTACGGCTCCGGATCTAGAGCAGCCCGATGGGCCCAGCTGCTTCAGAGATCCAAGGAGAAGACGAAGGAAGGCTTGCGCACCCTGCAGCCCTGGGGATGGACCCTGAAGAAGATCGGGGGTGCGATGGGGTTGGGGCCCGTGTCCTGGGGGTGGGGTCTGAGGGAGGAGGGGCTGGGGGTCCGGACCCCCGGGTCTGAGGGAGGAGGGACTGGGGGCCCGGACCCCTGGGTCTGGGGTCTGGAGTCCCCCGGCCGGAGTGGGCGGGGCTGGGGGCCGCACTCAGGGAGGAGCCGAGGCCTCTCTCTCTCTCTCTGCTGCCCCCTGCAGGCCAGTTTGGCGCCGGCACCGAGTCCTACTTCTCCCTGCTGCGCTTCCTGCTCCTTCTCAACGTGCTGGCTTCTGTGCTTACGGCCTGCATGATGCTGCTGCCCACCTGGTTGGAAGGCGCTCCCCCAGGCCCTCCCGGCCTTGGAAGCTCCGAGCCCTGCGGCTCCTATAACCCCTACCAACAGGGCCTGGTCCCCTTCCCCACCCAGCTCTTCAACTTGTTCTCTGGAGAAGTAGGTCTCTGGTTCCCCGGGAGATCCCCCACCCCAACTTTGCGCCCTGCTGCCCTTACTGACCTGCACCTGAACCCCGCCTCCTCCCAGGCCCACGGTGACCCCTGCTCCACCTTTCCTTCCTCAGGGTTACTTAGAATGGTCCCCTCTCTTCTATGGCTTTTACCCAGCCCGCCCACGCCTGGCAGTCACCTACCTGTGCTCAGTCTTTGCCGGTGGTCTCATCTCCCTCCTGCTCATCCTGCGTCGGTCAGTGACACCCCACACCCCCTGAGCCCCTGGATGGGTGGGGGTGGAGAGAGCGGTGGTGGTAGAAGCCCCTTCCCCGAGAATCTTGAGTCTTGCTCTGTGGCCCTTTCTTCCGTTTGAGCTGAAATCAGGGATACAAGATGGGAAGTTTTTCTCACTCCTGTAGCTTAGCGTCTAGTGCAAAACGTAAGATATTAAACAAGCAAGCACGCATGCACATTCGTTGCATACTTTCTTTTTGATGGGGAGAAGTGCTATATAGGAAACAAATGGGGCTGATTCTTTCATTCAGGTGACATATTTATTGAGCACCTACTATGTGCCGGGCATTGTTCTAAGCAGTTGGGATAAGGCAGTGGGCAAAACAGATGGGAGAAACAGACAAACAAAAACAAAACAGAGTCTTGTCTGGGTGGTGCTTACAGGCGATATTCCATACCGCATTCATAGCTGCTTGGGGCTTAGGGGCTTTGGGTGAGGGAGGTTGGCAGAGATGCCTGGGGCAGGCTGCCGTATTAACAGGTGGTCCAGGAAGCTCACTGGGACCATGATATTTAAGCAAAGACATTGGGAAGGTGAGAAGTTCAGCCAAGCAAATAGCTGGGAAAAGAGCATTCCCCAGAGTACTAGGGTACCCTTTGGAGGAGGCAGAGGGTACAGCCAGAGCAAAGCAGGAGCAAGCCTGGTGTGTTTGAGGGAGCACCAGGAAGCTTGTGGGGATGGAGTGGAGCAGGGAAGGAGAGGGAGAGAGTGGTAGGAAATGGAAAATGGGGCCACATCATGTAGGGCCTTGTCAGCCAATGTAAAGAATTTGGTTTCTTTCTGAGATGGGAGCCATTGCAGGTTCTTGAGCAAAAGATCATCCTGATTTAGGTTATAAAAGGATCCGTCTATGGGTCTGAGGAAGAGAGAAGGGGGGAAAAAGAGACAGAGAAGAAGAGAAGGAGGGAGAGAAGGAGCAGGAGGGAGGGAGTGGGTTGAAGGGATGAGCCAGGCAGTAGCAGGTAGAATAGTTAGTTAGGAGGTTATTGCAGTCATTCAGGTGAGAGACTGTGGTGGCTTGGACTGGGTGATAGAATCAAGCAGGGAACAAGTGGCCAATTCGGGATTTAGTTTTCATTTTAAAAAGCATCACACACATCCAGAAGAAGTATACAAATAAAAGGGTAGAGCTTGGTACATTCACACCCATATCAAGAATCAGAACACTACTGCTCTCTCTCAGCTTACAAACGCAGGTGTTGGGCTGGATTAGCGCCATGTGCTATAGTTTGTCAACCCCTGGGACAGGGAATAATGAGTGGGGACCTTCATTAGATGGAGTAGTCAGTGAAGGCCCCTCTGAGTAGGGGACCTATAGATGGAGACCAGAAAGATGAGAAGGAGCCAGGCAGGTGCCAGGAAGGTGAACAGCCAGGACACCAGTATTCCGGGCAGAGGGAACTGCAAGTGCAAAGGCCCTGTGGTGGAAAAGAGGTTTGGAGTGTTCTGAGAAATAAAAGGTCAGTATGAATAGAAGGGGCAGGATTTGAACTTCAAGAAGTAGGGAGGGGCCAGATCAGGCAGGCCCTGGCTGGTTATGCCAGCAAGAAGCCTAGACTTTAAGAGCAGAGAGAAGCTGTAAATAGGCTTTAAAAAGGGGCGTACCATCTTATCTGTATCACAAGGCGGCCCCACTGGCTCAAGAACAGAGAATGGATTCTAAGGGGGCACAGGTGGAAGTCAGGAAACGCGGGAGTCTTCTGTAGTTA